ATTTTGGCATCGCTTCTTATTTTACATCCGCAACTTATATATCCCTGATGCCGAATATCCAGCGGCAGGCATAGACACAACACTTACGGCAGGGACTTTGATGCAAAACTGCTTCTGTAAATAAAATAACTCTGAAATGGTGCTGGTTCTCCACCTATTATCTCCAGTGTAAATGAAGGCCGAGAGAACGCGCTTTCTGAAAGTTTTAATTATATGACATCCCGGCGTACTGTACGTCGTCGTGAGCGACGTTTCACGGCCGCTGCTAGCACCCTCCCACCACACGCAGCGAAATCGGTTTCCACCATGTTCAGTGGTTTCCACATACATTTAAAAACTCTGACGCTCCAATATTGAATGACGTTAGCTGGTCTCTAAACCCAATGCAGTGACTTGTCTCAGACTTAACCTGACATCGACGTGACTTGTTGACCTACTGATGGAGAATGCACCAAAAAAATCTGTCTCGACCATCCATTCGGAAGTTTGATGAGGAGCCAAAAATCTGCATCCCTCCCAGCGATTCGCATATTCATCTCAATGCTTCAAGAAGTCCGGGTTAAAAATATGCGCACAAAACACACGTTAACGACTTTAAAACGGAAACAAGCTTCACCACTCACACGCAAAACTGAGGCGAAACTTGAGCTGTCATTAATTGTATAAATGATAATGTGAATTTACCACGAGCACAGAGTAGTAACCAACAGCGCAGAACCAACATGCTCGGTCCGAACTCAGCTCTGCAGATATCAGTTCTCACCGCGCCAAACAGTCTCACAAACGGCAAATAACCGAGGTTACCACGATCACGAATGTGAATGATCATTGATCACCAATACCATAAAAGTCTTGGCCGCCGCCGGCTCCCGCCACAGCCAGCGCAGCGGCGCAGCACACAAAGCGAGGCCACGCTAAAGTCTTGCGGCACGCCGCCGCCGGCTCCCGCCACAGCCAGCGCAGCGGTGCAGCACACAAAGCGAGGCCACGCTAAAGTCTTGCGGCACGCCGCCGCCGGCTCCCGCCACAGCCAGCACAGCGGCGCAGCACACAAAGCAGGGCCACGCTAAAGTCTTGCGGCACGCCACCGCCGGCTCCCGCCACAGCCAGCGCCGCTGCGCAGCACACAAAGCGAGGCCACGCTAAAGTCTTGCGGCACGCCGCCGCCGGCTCCCGCCACAGCCGGCTCCCGCCACAGCCAGCGCAGCGGCGCAGCACACAAAGCGAGGCCACGCTAAAGTCTTGCGGCACGCCGCCGCCGGCTCCCGCCACAGCCAGCGCAGCGGCGCAGCACACAAAGCGAGGCCACGCTAAAGTCTTGCGGCACGCCGCCGCCGGCTCCCGCCACAGCCAGCACAGCGGCGCAGCACACAAGGCAGGGCCACGCTTAAGTCTTGCGGCACGCCACCGCCGGCTCCCGCCACAGCCAGCGCAGCGGCGCAGCACACAAAGCGAGGCCACGCTAAAGTCTTACGGCACGCCGCCGCCGGCTCCCGCCACAGCCGGCTCCCGCCACAGCCAGCGCAGCGGCGCAGCACACAAAGCGAGGCCACGCTAAAGTCTTGCGGCACGCCGCCGCCGGCTCCCGCCACAGTCAGCACAGCGGCGCAGCACACAAAGCGAGGCCACGCTAAAGTCTTGCGGCACGCCGCCGCCGGCTCCTGCCACAGCCAGCACAGCGGCGCAGAACACAAAGCGAGGCCACGCTAAAGTCTTGCGGCACGCCGCCGCCGGCTCCCGCCACAGTCAGCACAGCGGCGCAGCACACAAAGCGAGGCCACGCTAAAGTCTTGCGGCACGCCGCCGCCGGCTCCTGCCACAGCCAGCACAGCGGCGCAGAACACAAAGCGAGGCCACGCTAAAGTCTTGCGGCACGCCGCCGCCGGCTCCCGCCACAGTCAGCACAGCGGCGCAGCACACAAAGCGAGGCCACGCTAAAGTCTTGCGGCACGCCGCCGCCGGCTCCTGCCACAGCCAGCACAGCGGCGCAGCACACAAAGCGAGACCACGCTAAAGTCTTGCGGCACGCCGCCGCCGGCTCCCGCCACAGTCAGCGCAGCGGCGCAGCACACAAAGCGAGGCCACGCTAAAGTCTTGCGGCACGCCGCCGCCGGCTCCTGCCACAGCCAGCACAGCGGCGCAGCACACAAAGCGAGGCCACGCTAAAGTCTTGCGGCACGCCGCCGCCGGCTCCTGCCACAGCCAGCACAGGAGCGCAGCACACAAAGCGAGACCACGCTAAAGTCTTGCGGCACGCCGCCGCCGGCTCCCGCCACAGCCGGCTCCCGCCACAGCCAGCGCAGCACACAAAGCGAGGCCACGCTAAAGTCTTGTGGCACGCCGCCGCCGGCTTCCGCCACAGCCGGCGCGGCACACAAAGCAGGGCCACGCTGAAGTCTAATCACCAGGATGCACGTACAGGCGAGCACGCTTGGCCTCCCGGCTGCAGGTAGGCTGCTCCTTTCGGAGACGTTCTCTGTCGCCGATGAGGCGCCGGATCTCACGTACCCGCAGCTGCGTCCTAGTCATAGCGTACTTCCTCAGTACGTATGGATGCAGCTGCGGGAACTTCAGCGCAGCAGCCTCGGCAAGTCGCCTAACGACGCCGGGGCCGCGGTCGACATCTCCTCCGTGCATCGTGGTGAACAGCACCTCCAACTGCTCAACCTCATCGAGCCACCGCGCGCTGGGCACCGTGAGGCCGCCGCGGCTGAGGGTGTCAATCCAGGCGTAGCGCTCGTCACGGGGTACCTCGCTGGCATCGGACGTGATCTTGCCGAGCGTGCTGTCCACTGTGGCGCACTTAGCGGCCACGTACCCCGCGACGTACGCCAGCGCCTGCCTGGATAGACTTGTGACACCCGTCGCTCCAGCGGGGAGGCTTGCAGGTGGCGGGGCGGCGCCGGCGCTGGCTGCGGGTCCCGGACACGGCTGGCGGGCGGTCACCAGGTTCTCCACCGCGGTGACGTCCGCGTCCGGCACCTCTGGCTCCACTGGCGGCTCGTGGTCCAGGTCCAGCGTCGTGGCGCTCAGGTAAGTCGGCTCCTTCTCCTCCAGCAGTACTGAGGCTCCGGACTCGCGCGGGTCGTCGTGGGTTGCGGCGGCCACTGTCGGCGCAGCTCCTATGAGGAGCAGGCGGAGGCGGTTCTTGGCCTCCACTGCCGTGGGGTTGGTGTTCGCCGCACCCATGCCTCTCAACTGAAATAGAAACAGTGGTTGGTAAAATACCTAAAAAAAGACTCGATTAGGTGGGCATTAAAGGTGCGGGGTATAACTTAACCACTGTGACAACAGGTCTAATATTTATTGTTTTTTACCATTACCGGGTCACCCAGTGAAATCAAAGAAGTGAAACAAAACATAGTTTATCAGAGTGAGGTAATTAAAGTCTATTATAACACAAAAGAGGTGAGTGTGAGTGGGTAACACTCAATATATATATAAAAAAGACCAATGTCTTCATTACGAGTAAACCATGAATGTTTATTGTTTAAGGATAGAATCAAAGTACTTATATACACAACCCAGATATGTAGTAAGCTACACATTCGGGCGAGACGTATGAAAACAATCAAATTAAAATAAATTTCAAGGTTAGATACAATACCAGGACAAAGGGCTTTGCGTGATAGTCCATGTGCATATTGCTCTTAATGTTTACCTGCATAAAAAAAGAAAGAAAGAAAGAAAAGAATCGCCCGTGTTTTATTTGAGTTGCATCAAAATGTGTGACTGATGTTAGAATGCTTACCTGCGAGAAGAAGTTTTCGACGCAGTCCTGATTGAGCCGGGAGGTCAGTAGGTAGCTGAGCCCGTGATGCCGCTGCACAGCGCTGTACAGGCCGCGCAGAGCGGTGGAGGACATCACGAAGCCCTTCTGAAAGGGCAGCATCGAGTTGCTGCCGACCACGCGCGCGTCTCGCATCACCTTCGTGAACTTGAGGAGGCAGGAGTACTGGTCCTCGATGGTATGGGCCAGCCCAAACGCCGACCGGTGTAGTTTGCCGTCCGACACGTGGCGGGAGTTGAACGTGTCGAAGGCTTGGTCGACGAGGGCGATGAACTCCGCCTCCTTCCGGTACCGGTCACCGAAGATGTGCGAGACCGCCTTGGCCACGCGCTCACTGAGGAGCTGGGCGGCCAGGTACACGCGCTGGCATTCCTGACCCCGCACCTGCGACACACGGGGAACCAAAGGAGTAATAAATAATGACGTTGGTTGACTTTTTGTTGGTCAACATTCAGGCTCAATGAAGGGTCGAATTTCGTAAATTTTTAAAGGAAGGGTGCCACCTTTTGGACACAACGCAGTTTTTACAAGATTAGCCTCACATGAACCTAAAAACCGGCTTCACTTACCTATGCTCGAGACGGTCAGCATTGAATCCGCACGTGAAGTTATCATTTGCGAGTTTTGCTGCCAGCATTGGGGCAGGCAAAAATCTTCAGCACTATTTCCTCGTCGTGTTAAGGGTATTTTATAAAACATGAAATCAGCAAAGGTATGTATAAAAGTTATACTTTTGAAGCATGTTTTATCATTTTGAAAGGGTATATTTTTTCTTTATGGTATACACTTAAGTTTTAAAATTTTAATTGGGAAGTTTTTCTAGTAAGTTGCATGAAGGGTGAAGGGTTCCATAGATCTCTTAAGCATTGTAAAGGAAAAACCTTTACTCGACTTATTTGATGTTCTTTTGACGTATCTCCGCGTAACATGTGTAATCTATATAATTTTTATTGTCAATTATGCCATTTCAACAGAGTTGATACTGCGAAATGAACTAACTTCAGCTATATAAACCATTTCTATATAAAGAAAAATGACAGAGAAATCCTTCACGATTGAAGGGTTCCATAGATCTCTTCACTATTGGTAAATGACTTGCTTGAAGTTTTTCTTCAATTTGGCTGCGATAAGCTAGATCACATGTTATGTTATGGTGGCCATCAACGCCATGCGGCCATGGTGCCGGTCTTTGTTGTGCGTTTCAGTTTTGGGTTGTCAGGGTTGGGTCGCTTATGCGGTTATTTGACATCCTGAATTCAAATATAACACTCAGTTCTGGCGCAACTGCTTATTTACCAATGTCAGGGTTAGGTTAGGTAATGTTAGGCTAGGTAAGGCTATAATATTCTATTTTTTTTTTGCGCCACTAACGTATCATTTGTAATTTGGAAATGTAATAACCTTAGAAGTAACAATTTATGCATGGAATCGGTGCCGGACCTGTCAATATTTACCTCTATTTGAAAGATGGTGATGATATTGACTGCTAACATGACAGATAGATGTACTTAATGTTTAAAAATAAGGCCGAAAATACAGAACAAGAATCAAGATTTCGTCTTTACTACAGCATCAGGTATTCTCACCTCGGGTTCCAACATGCCCAAGGTTAGGATCAGCAATGATGGAAAGGAAAGGCGTAGAGGAATGAGGAACCCAGAATAAATCTGACGTGCCAGTGTTCACATTTCATCATGACTAATATTCAAACAGGGAACAACTGGAGTTTTGTGTCTTACAGTTGTCAGTCTCCAAAATAAGCTAAATTTGAGAAGATATACACGATATTGTTGATTGGTCGAGCATCAAGAGCTTGAGGGCAGATCACATGTTGGCTACCCAAGGGTGAACTAGAATGATATAGATACTGATGTCATAGAACGTGATGATGTCATAAAGACATAAGCAAAAACTTGTTCTGTATCTTCGGCCTTATTTTTAATACATTAAGTACATCTACCGGTAAAGGTTAAGATTAAGTCCGACGCCCCATTTCTGCATAAATTTTGTTGACTCTAAGGTTATTCGATGTGCTGATTCCAATAATGATGTCCATTTGTGGCTGCAACAACCTAACCTAACCTAACCTAACCGGTCTTCAGGGCGGCCGGTTAGGTTGGGTTAGGTTAGGTTAGGTTAGGTTAGGTTGTTGCCGCCACAAATAGACATCATTTTTGGAATCAGCATATCAAATAACCTCAGAGTCAACAAAATTAATGCAGAAATGGGGCGTCGGACTTAATCTTAACCTTTACCCATCTACCTTCGATGTTAGTGGTCAATATCATCTCCATCTTTCATAACTTGATCATGCCAAAAGTAACCATGAAATACCTATACTCTATTTCCTGGTATTTGACTTGAACAGGAATAAATTTTAGTCTTGATATTTTCATAGTGTATATGTTGCACTGATGGATCCAAGGGTGACTATTTGTGGCAAATGCCCCTCCCGTAGCATCTGAAAATCAGGATTTTTTTTACTTTTTTCCTAAAATGGAAACTAAACACGTTATATTCAAAAGTTTGTTTAAAATTGCAAAGCAACGCATAACAAAGCAACAATTGACAATTTTTTTATTTAGACAAACTGATTGGTGGGTATGCCCCCTCAGCGACAGATGCAGCCATTCTGGATTCCCCTATGATGTATTGCCTCTAGTCAGAACATGACGTATTTCAATTTCACATCATATATTTTATATGCTTTTTTTTAATAAATCCTTGTTCACATTTCAAAATCCACATCTTCAAACATAAATCTTTGTCCACATTTACTTGTCAGCAATTTTTTGTATGCATTTCTTGTTCTTCATCTGCCAATCTCTGTACCTTAGCATAACATATTGTGGAGACAATGTGCCTATCTTCATCTGTTTAATTGTGCATTTTTGTCTTCTACTATTTTTCAGCATCAATATGTCGCGTTGCTGCATCAAGGCTTGTTTTTTACATTTTGATTATCAGAAAGGGCAAGCTGAGTCTCATGGCATCAAAATGCACAGGTATGTATTACTGCATATTTTGGTGACACAATAGAATTTAAAATTATGAGCCGACTGAGCTGAGCTGATCTCTTAGCCAGCTCAACTGAGCTTGTCACAAGTCTGACAGTGGGTGGAGGTTTTTTTTAAGTAGAAACATTTTTTAAGTCAAATAACAGTGTTCTCATTTCATTTTAGGGTTCCGGTGCATGGAGATAGCAGGCGAAAGGCCTGGCTGGATGCCCTCGGCATCCCATACACCCACAAGAAACTTTACGTGTGCAGTCGCCATTTCCGGACAGGAGACTTCCACCGCAGTGGCTACATCTTACATAATGCTGTCCCTTCAATGGTAAGGGGACGAGTGATTGTTACTGGACTGGACATGTCAGTTTCTCGGTAAAAGCTGATGACTGATGACTGGCCAGCCAGCTAAATATTTCTGCTTGGGGGTTATCGACCTTAGCTTGTGCATTAGTGGAGGTTACAAGTTGGCATTGTTTGTTTTTCCGTGTTATGCCATATTTGAATAGGTGTTGGTTGTTCGCTTACAGTGCTTAATGATAACTCGAATATTGAAAGTCAACATATCTTTTGTAAATTAAACTCCGCCTCGTCACTTGGTACAATTCTGAAATCGCCTAGTCTCACGGTTTTCGAGCAAGGTTATGTTTTTTTTTTAAAGTTATTATTGTTGCCTGTTGGTTTCGTTTGTGATGCATAGCAATAAAGTGATCGATTAGTATGTTAAATTGTGTCATTTTGACCACACTGGATCGTTTGGCGAAGCCTATACCCCGCTAAACCGTAATGTTAGCAGAAATATGCAATATTGCAGATGCGCTCAATATGTACACAAACGATCCGTTAGTTTAAGAGAAGGTAGCTCGACCTTCAGCCTCGCTCGTAGGTATTTCGGTTCCCGTATTACAACGCTATTTCGTCAGCTAACCCACCAAGACATGCTATAGTCCCATCTCCATATTTTCATTGCTCTATTGTGATTTCAGAATCTCGGCACCGGAGGCGACTCGGCACCAGCGCCGCCATGCGATGTGCCAGCCGCTGGCGCGGCAGACGGAGGCGACTCGGCACAGGCGCCGCCATGCGATGTGCCAGCCAAGATACCTATAAGAAACAGGTAGGTCCGATGTTTTGAGTAAAGCCCTGGTGACGTCACTGATATTTCTTATATGGAGAATTTCACCCATAAGGAAAATATTTTACATACGAAAATTTGTATGCTATTAGGAAAAAATAGAATCTTTCAATTCCACCATGAAAATTATATAATTTAATTAATAAACTCGAAATCCTTTGAGTGTCTGTCCCAACCCCCTGTTATACCTTTGGTCACGTGACTACCATGATACACTTTGCATTTTACAAGGTTATGACTTAAATGGAAGTAATAAATGCTGCAAATGTATTATTTATGATGTTTTAGGCAGCAATCGTGTGAATATATCCTGAAATTATCTATAATCTGCTGAAAAGAAGTCACGTGATGCTACCAGATTGTGCTCCGACAGCATCTTCTTGAATTTCGATTTTGAGTACTTTGTACCTTCATTGAGGCCTAATAACGGACGGTTTTAGTTATAAAATGAAGCACTGAATCTAATGAGGGCAAAATTTAATCATTTTTGCACTTTCAGGCCGGGCTATCCTGGCTTGAACTTTGGCCAGTTTGTGTGTAAAGCCTATGGTGAAGGGAAAACTTCACGCCCGGCTGACGTCACAGACCTCGGCTACCAAATCGTGTCCGGTGGGGGTCGGTGCCAGCCGCCGGCGCGGCAGACGGAGGCGACTCGGCACCGGCGCCGCCATGCGATGTGCCAGCCGCCGGCGCGGCAGACGGAGGCGACTCGGCACCGGCGCCGCCATGCGATGTGCCAGCCGCCGGCGCGGCAGACGGAGGCGACTCGGCACCGGCGCCGCCATGCGATGTGCCAGCCGCCGGCGCGGCAGACGGAGGCGACTCGGCACCGGCGCCGCCATGCGAGGTGCCAGCCGCCGGCGCGGCAGACGGAGGCGACTCGGCACCGGCGCCGCCATGCGATGTGCCAGCCGCCGGCGCGGCAGACGGAGGCGACTCGGCACCGGCGCCGCCATGCGATGTGCCAGCCGCCGGCGCGGCAGACGGAGGCGACTCGGCACCGGCGCCGCCATGCGAGGTGCCAGCCGCCGGCGCGGCAGACGGAGGCGACTCGGCACCGGCGCCGCCATGCGATATGCCAGCCGCCGGCGCGGCAGACGGAGGCGACTCGGCACCGGCGCCGCCATGCGAGGTGCCAGCCGCCGGCGCGGCAGACGGAGGCGACTCGGCACCGGCGCCGCCATGCGAGGTGCCAGCCGCCGGCGCGGCAGATGGTATACAGCAGGGCCAAGGGCGCATTGAAGTTGAGGAGTGTGGTGGCAGCAAAGACGCACCCGTATGTGGCCAACCTTCTCTTCAACATGCTGGAGAGGCGCCGAGCCGGGCCGGTGGTAGGACGGCGGCCACTAGCCGAGGACGATCCGCGGCGGATATCCCGATACATACACAGGGTGGTGCCGCCGACCGCGGAGGAGCGCGAGGCCATGCAGTTGGAGCGCGAACGGCACCACTGCCCGTGACTGACCAGACTCGTGGCCCCGGATGGCCGAACTGGGCTATCTTACCGCACAGCAGAGACGTAGTTCGAGTTGGTCGTGACTCGTGTACCTATATGTGTCTAACGAACGTCTTGGCATGACATTTGATTTGGCACATGCTGGTGACCTGCCAGCCTGTGCGGAGTGGCAGAAGCAGCACAGAAGTGGTGGCGTGGAGTGACCCGTCGGTGTCCCAGTGCGTGTCAACTGAGCTTTATGCCTATATCCGCTTTGTGGACAAAGATCTTGGACAGGCGGTGGCAAGTGAGCCAGTCCTTACAGCCTTAATGCCCTTTCCCGTCGTTTCCCTTTGTAGATTACTTGTCGTTACTTGCCGTGCCTTGGACTTGCATAAATAGGTAATTGCATGGGTGGTGATTATGGCGAAGCTATATTGTCATGTCTGAGATAGTGTCATGTCTGATCTGTTCGAGACGTGTATACTGGGAGTGATTTGCTTGTGTTATCCATTGTCGATCACAATATCATTATCAGCGAAGATTGTTATTGTACGCATATACAGCAGAAGCACTAGGCCACAAACTATGACGTGTTACGTTATCTGCCGTGCCGATGCTGTGTCACATTCTCAGGCAATCCCCGTTTTAATTTCATACTAGCTATGCATCAGTCAAATAATGTATGTTCTTAAACAGTGACATTGATAAACGTTGACTCTGTGACTCTGTAGTACGGCATCTGGTACTGGGCGCGCAGGTGAGCTACCTCTGACGCATCGACAGCTCGTCGTTCATGGCGGTGCTGAGAACGAACGGAATATCAGAGATGCAATAACGTCACTGCAGCGCTCACAATAACTCATTACCAGAATATTAACCAATTTTTTATGAAAGTTCATACTCAATCGTATGTAATTCTAACTCAATGGTTGTGTTTCGCATGTGGTAGCTAGGAAAAAGTAACGACAAACTTAATAACGTCCATAGGTTAGAGACGTTGAACGCCATTTTCAGAACGTCGATACGCTAACGGCGAAATTTAAAACCAAATCCACTCACGATTGGGTAAGAATTATCGAAAATGAACTGTAGTTTTGCAAAAGTAAAATCAGGCTATATCAACTGTCAGCTTTTCTAATGTGGTTGGGAAGATTCCTTTTAAAATTGAATGGAACGATGAAATGCGGTTCTTCCAAGATTATTGCAAGAGTATTGTTGTTTTGAGATCAGTTCATATCTCCATTATAGTGACGCAAGTAGCTATACTCTCCCGAGCGGCAACATCCGACATACGCCAGCAACGGCCACGTGGTGTATTGTTTATAAAACCTGTAACTGCCAGGCGAATCACCCCTCCCTGTCCATATAGCTTTGGTTTGATCTTTGGTTCGGCTCGGCTGGCGTGCTCCGCCCAGCGTGGCGTCCAACTGTACAAAACAGCAGTCTATATACCGCGGAGACGGCGGCTTTCGAGTCGCCGTTCTGCCGAGCGCCAACACCCGAGGCTCCCTCTCTCAGGAGCACAATCACTGCCAGGGGACGGCCACGTCACCTAGTCACAGATATACCCTCTCCCACGGGACCGGCCGCCGACGGCGAGCCGGTCTTGGTCACGCGGTTCATCACACACCGCCAACAACCACACAAACACACACATACACGCACACACACACACACACCTACGCGCGCGCGCGAACACGCAAACGTAACGTCAACGGTGCCCGGCTGGTGGATGAGAGGCAGACAGGCTTCCAGGGGGGCTCCTCCGGCGCGCGGGCCCTGCTGCTCGGGGGGCGGCACCAGCTCCGAGCGGAGAACGTGTCGACCGCCGGCCGCAGACGCCACAGCGCTCTTCCGCGCCGAGTCGGGACCGACAGCGGCGGCGGCGGCGCGCCCGGCCGGCTCGTCACTCCAGCTGGCGGGCGGCGGCGGCGGCGGCAGCGGTGCCGCCCGGCCGGCCGCAGGAACGGGTGTCGGACTGCCTCCTCAGGAGTCATCCGCCGCGCCGGGTCTCATCTGAGGCAGGAAACGACTGTCAGAGTGTGGCACTGCGCTCGGCAGAGTGCAGAGTATACATTGCAGAGCTCTGTACATAAAGTCAGCCACCAGACATCACCACTTTACGATGCATCCGTCTGGCCAGACCGTTTCACCTCGCTGACTGCGGCATGTGCCTGCAGGTCACGTATTGTCTCATCCCTCTCTCCCCCGCTGCTGAGGTCATGGGCAGACGGCGGTTCCGACCGCTGCCGCTCGTCTAAGGGTGTTACCGGCGGCTCAGACCGCTTGTATGAGGACGGTCTGAGCTCCTTCGGGATATCTGGTCAGGCCACGGCGCCCCAGCAGACCACAGGCAATCTTTGGTTCGGGGGTTGAGCGAGTTATGGGCAAACTGTTTGACTTATCAATGACAAATTTCGGGATAGATCAATTCGATAATGGCCTAATGGGTGGTGTCGCCATGGACACCTTATCGATGAGTTATAGATATCTTATCTACACTTATCGATGTGAATATCGATGCATTGTTCCTAGACAATGCGGAGCAATGTGGCCTCTAGGGTAATGCTAGCTGTGAGCAAAACCGAGCATGCATCTGCGAATGGAATACTTACTGTGGACCTCACAGCTCGCGCATGACGTCGACGAACCCGACGTAGGTGCCGATCGGGCTGGGGAAGGCGTCCCTGATGGCCCAAAGGACGCAGGAGGGAAGGCGTCGCCGGTTCCCGCGGCCGAGTGCACCCCACCTGTCGGTCAATCCATTGAACAACTGTCACTCAAATGATGATTTGTAACCTGCACTGAACATACGTCACAATGTCAATTGGGGAACTGTTTCTAATTCCGGGACTAACTAGAACGATATATTTTTTCCATATATCTTCCATCTTTTGTAGATATTATATCTGAGGATAATGTGATTTACAAAAGAACTATATCTGATGACATTTCCAGAAACTTATTGGGTTGCAGCGCCCATAATCATAAAAACGCTTCCATTCATTGAGTAAATATTAATAATGTCATTATCAAGCAGGTCGTTGCATACCACCACAGGATAAAATTCCTGTATGCCTGCCAGCGCATCCCGCGGTTGAGCGCCTACAAGCTGGAGTATGTAATAAATAGGGAAATTCAAGACTGTTATCATATGTTGGTCTTCACACTTCTGGATCTGCTCTGCATAATCAACAAAATCATGTTCCTACCTTGTGGCACCTCGCTGACGCTGGCTAGTTGAGGTTGGAGAGAACTCCAACCTCCTCTGCGCGCCTCGCCGCTGGCCAACTGCTCTTCCTCGCCTTGTTGCTCCCTCTCCTCTTCTTGTTGAAGGCATGGTTTTCCTGAAAACATGGTAAAAACTACTTCAATGTTTTGAAATGATGAAAAAGCATTTACATCACTTCATACAATGAACAGTAGCTACTCTGTAGGTACTCCTTACCACTGATAAATGACAATAAACAATGTTTTCAGTAGGTAGAAATTTTATTTGTGTGAAGTCAGCAGCACATTAGCCATTTCAATTTATTTCTGATGTTTCTGCAATGAAATGAAATGAGACAAAATTAGTTCACAGCCTATAAGTGAACCAATATACTGTGAATCTACTATAGTATAATTAATTAAATTTTACAGAAAAGCTCACATGGCAACATTTGAAGCATCAAATTACGTATTCCTTTAAAGCCATTTAATCAAAACTTCATTCCGCTACACTCACTCCCCTTTCCTTATTTCTGTTGTCCTGTCCAAGGCATTGCAAAATATGCCAAAATATACATATATAGCTCCAGGCCGAAGTCGTGTGCTCTACCTCCCTGAATTCTTTCAATTCCAGTTTGGATGCCCACTGGGCTCAGTTCTGGTACTATACACCGGACAGCTAAATCGCCAGCTAAATGTATAAGTCACGATGACCATAAGGTAAGAAGGTAAGGTATATACAGAACTTCAACGACTTATTATTCACCGTCATTACCAATTAGGTGGCAAATATGGCCAACAGTTACCTACTTGGTTACCTACAACTTAGTTCAAATCATGTTATCTTCTTCCTTTTTATTTGTTCATCTTTTTGTCTCAGTTGCGCCATCAATGCAAATGGCAGAATGATATGTTGCCATGACAACAGGATATGCCAGCCGTCCTAGCTGCCACATCAAACGACCTTGAGTTGTAGTGGTGATATAAACAACGATCTTTTTTTTTGGCCAATGTATTAAATGCAATGTTTCGGTTTTTTGTATATTGTGGACGCGCTAACCACGTCTAAAAATTCAAATAAGTAAAATAGATACATAGAACAAAAATTTCGGAAGGTGGCACCCTTCCTTTAACTTGTTTCCAATGACGAGATAAATTTTTGACATCTACAGTTAAGACACACTATAATGTGCTGCACTATCACAGCTTTGCATCAAATGTAAAAAGACATTGCTTTTCAGCGTCACGGAATTAATCATCCAAGTTGATGGCACATATCATTCATAATGCTGCTGGTTATGGTAATTAACATTGATAACTTGCTCACCGTGATGTGCTTCCACTTCAGAAAGTGGCATAGCCGAAACTCAGAGTTATCTTTCTCCAGAAGGTTGCAGAAGACCTTCTTGTCGATGACAGGGCCGCCTGGCAGCTGGAGGCCTTGCCGGAGAATGTGATTGCGGAGAAGCTTTAGGAGGTGTGGCACGTCCGCGAAAGGTGAAGATTTTTCTGCAGAGTGAAACGGAACGAAGTTGCCGTCAGCTAGCATTTACACGGAAATTAAGCTACAATTTTAGTGGTTTCGAAAGGCTGAATGCCGGTACCAAGGCCATCAAGACAATCGTTGCCAGCGGCATGACATACATGACATATTTGGTTTCAATGCAACATGAATGAAGAGTTGCTGTGGCTACATAAACTTGCTACACAACATCGAAATATAAGCTTATTTATGGTCTCCCTAGAAATTAGTGTCCGAAGTTAAAAACCGATGAATAAGAAAGTTAGAAAAGTTGACTTACCGGCTGGGGTCGCACGGATGGGCAAAGAACCCGTCCTCCGGGTCGATGCCCAGTCCGTCAGCGGCCTTCGGCGACCACAGCAGCTTCCGGTTGGCCGGCCCCAGGTCGCACACCATGGCGACGACCACGTAGCCGGCAGACTCCACGGCGGCGATGATGCGGTGGAGAAGGTCCTTGGTGACGTCCTTGTTGTAGTCGAAGAAGACGGGCTGCTTCCAACGACTGCACAAGGAGCGGACCATCACCACCTGCCGACGGTCTGCCAAAACATCGAATTTAATGACTTTTCAAAAGCTGCCCCAATTTCTGACGCTGTCCCGCTGTGTCTGCCCCAATGAGATCTCGCCCAACCCTGCCACGTTTTGCAGACTGGGTAAGGCAGGCATCACAGGTGGTTATATGCAAGCATCCTACTTTCTGTTGGTTATAGGTTGTAGGCTACCTATTGACTGTAGGCAGTAATGAGATACACACATGTGCCCGCTCATGCAATGTCTGCCTCACTGATACCCAAGAGCCTGTACCGACCAATACCTCAACCTACAAATCCCGCATCACACCCAGCACCAGCAGAGCCCTGGTGCACCAAGCCAAGTACACTCACCTGCATGAGCTTGATCTGTGACCTGCCGAAGGATATGCACTTCAGGCAGAGACATCGCCCAGTCAGCTTTCCATGGTCACCCATGCCAAGCGCCTGAACCACAGACTTAGCAACAGATTTAGAATCGATTTTTTTCAATTTAGGCACTCCAACTATGGCACCACTTACAATGCGCGCGTGCCCCTCGTAGGCACAACGCCGTCTTGTACCTTCAATATTCATCTTAAACAATCGCAACCACTTATCTATACTCAGCACAACTCAGCACACCCAGCAACACAGGCAATATGAGAAAATAATCGAGAAGACGGCACGCATGGGCAACATGGCGTCCGTCGCACGTTTCGTACGTTTACGGAAGTGGCGCACGTCGCCACTTTTGAATAACATACGGGTTATTGATTTTTCGAAAAGATTAAGACTGAATTTAGCCATTTTCCGTAAAAAAGTTAGCTACGGGAGGTAATGCAATCAATAGAAAATGCGCTAGTTTATCAAACTTAACAGCTTATAGAGGCCGCCTCCCTCTCATTTTTCACCTACCTCTTTACCATTTACTGTTTTTCACTCCGACATTAAAGCATTAAGTGCCGAAATTCGCCTTTTTCCGTAAATCCTCGAGTTATATTGGGACCAGCGGCTGAAAGATAATCGAATAAAGATATAAATTTTTATTTTTATAGAGGCCGCCTCCCTCTAGATTTTTTTATGCCAAGGCTTTGTCTAAGCCACCTCTCTCCAATTTCACCACAAAATGACATTTTGAAGAGCTATGATTTCATATCATGCTGTTGTTTCCCAATAAATGCACACTTGTTGGATGCAAAAATTAATTTCCTTTCAGAAAATCCCAAAATTATATAATTTGTACGTCTAGGTGCTGAGATATATGAGAATTACTGAAGGCATGATGGAATGCCATAAAATTACAAGTTTCTTGGCGAGAAAAAATTTAGATAGGAATACCAAAAAATATGTCTATATAGAAACAAAAAATATTATAGTAGGCACAGTATTAGGAAAATCTGTAATGTAGTTACGGAGCAAGTTTTTTGCAAATGGTGCTTTCAACAGCTGTCAAGACCTGAACCCGTTGCCTTCATGTTGAAGGAATTTCTCGGTGTTACCTAGTGTTTTTATATACCTTGAGGTCAGTAATTGGTCAGTAAGATTTTTCCTACATGCCGCATACCTAAGTAGTTTCGACAGGTTTTGGTGACACTTTTATACGATTGTTTTGTCCATAATATCCTAACAGTGATTGCGCTACTGCTGTGGATAAAGCTTTAAAGGAAATGTATAGAAGAAAATGCATCAAAACTCCTTACTTCAAAAAGAATCGCGTCTGCCAAAACATCAACTCAGAATGGCACAACAAGTGGATATCCAGGGAACATAATACATGAATGATTTGCCACGACATAAGAACAAGAAGAAGATATAATATTCCTAGTGATTAAACGTGAATTTTCCAGTGCTCTCGCAAGAATCTTTGCTTTATTCATGTAATCGTACCTACCTACTTTGTTGATGCCCTATGGCTAAACTTCGTGAAATACATTATATTTTCCATATTTTACATGTTTGTTTCGAGGAAAGGACTAGAAACTTTTGTACAAGATATTTCAAAATCCTTGATAAGCAGAGAAGATATTGTTTACCCAAAAATGTTAGTTTTCTAATTTTACGAGGCAAATATCATGCAATAATGATGTCAATTATACACTCTCTGTCAATTACACCTCTGGGCTAATGCGATAAACAATAATTTAGAGGTCATTGCCCTGGGCAGTAAACCCGGGCAGTAAACTTTTGTTTCCTGCCCGGCCTATCAGATAACATGGCATTTTGGCACCGACAGTTTCTTGGTCATAGTTTTACTGCCCGGCTCGTGCTGTGCTTAAGACATACCCCGGCATGTAGGAAAACTAAATCGTCATCGTCAGAGGAAGCTGGCTAAACGGGCTCGCCATGAAGACAGACTCAAGACCGGAGGACTGGTTCCTTTGATTTACGTGTCCAAGAAGTAGGCAACCATGCACTGCTTCCAGACACCTGGCAAGCATTTTCACTGCCAGGTATGTCATTTGTTGTCATATATTGACATATACCGCCAAGTATGGTAGCTGAGTGCCACTGAACAAAAAGGATTTATACTAAAACATGGATACTGACCATAAGAATAAAAGTTAGAGTGCGGCATTGTGTATGCTCACCTCCATATGAGGTCAATGAACACTGTGCAAGCACATTTAGGGGTCATAAATATATCAAAACGCAATATACTCGGTTTTACATGCAAATATAATGTGAGAAGGAACTTATGGGACACCCTGTACATAGCCCCTTTCTGATGGATCCGCTACTCATCTCCGAGAAGGGCCGCCATCAGCCTCTTCCTCGTCACCGCCTCACGGCCATCCATCGGATTTATGTCATCTTGTCCTTCGTCGCCTCCACCATCCTCCTCCTCCTCCACTACAGCCATGTCCTCCCCGTTGTCTCCACCCTTCAGGCACATATTATGTGGGACACATGCGGCTATGATGGCTCGAATCGTATCAGGAATTCCCCACATCTTCAGGAATTTCAAGCGCCGGAACCGCCCCTTCAGGATAGCAAAGGCCCGTTCCACGATCACTCTCCTCCCATGCTCACGCTCAGCTCCGTGTTGAAGCGCCGTTGCCTGCGAGTTAGCCTCCCGCTGTCCCTGAAGGGAGTCAGGAGCACGTTGCTCAGGGGGTAAGCACTGTCGCCGGCGATGGAGAACCCACCAGCGCAGAGTTTGGGAAGTCCTTCGTACAAAGGCGAGTTCCGGAAGACGCGTGCGCCGTGGACGGATCCGGGATATCCCGCAAACACGTCGATGAACGACATGTCTGACTGGCAGACGGCCTGCAAGACGATGGAGTGGAAGCCCTTGCGATTGCCGTAAGCTTCCTGCTTCAGCACAGGCTGCGAGATGGGAATATGACTTCCATCTATGGTCCCCACCATGCTGATGGAGCCGGTTGGGTCCATTGCCCTCGCTGAAGCTGCGTTGTTTGGCCACGTGATGTGCTTTTTCAGCAGTGGACCCACCAACACATCAACCAAGCGCCTGTTAGAACGGATGACAGTAGACTTGGTCACATCGAATCTGTCAGCGATGCTCCTGATTGTGTCCTGGTTGGCCAGAGTCCGCAGCAGCATGGGTGTGGCTGCGTCTGCTTGTACGGGCTCAGCTCCTCTGTGCCCGTCTTTAGGGAAGGTCCCCTCGTCGCCAAGCTCCTCAATCAGAAGGTCTACCTGAGAGCTCGACATCCTGGAACGATTAAGGTCCCTGATTTAAAGAACTTATAAGTATGTTTTATTTGTTTCTGGTTGCAAAGCTTTTGTTACTAGTTTTTCGTCCATATTAGCGCGTAACTTAAGATAGTGTAAAACATATGACAACTGGTACCTTATCATTGGTTTTCGTTCGTTCGTATCATAAGCAGAAAAGTAAATTATGACACCAATAAGACACATCGTGTCTATGGTATAATCCAAGCCAGAAGCATTTAATATGCATTCAAAGCACGTCACCTGAAATGGCCACGAAAGTCGTCTTCCAGGTAAGCAGGTACCGTGTTGGCCACATAACCTACGGTTCTTGCCCTCACATTTCGACGTGGCCTGAAAAAGTGTCATAACACGATCAAACAAGTCATAGTAAAGAATCATAATGCAAAGACGCCACTTCGTCAAATCAGCAGCGCATGCCATTAGGTACAATAAAGCGTTCTCTAAAATTCAGTGACACATGATATAGAACTGACTTTGAACACATTATCTTCCTGGATTCCTACACCAAACAAATTTAAGACTAGGAATCAAACAGCGCTTTGAAACAAGATCGCTATGTGACATTGATTGATATATCTCGCTTTGAAAATGGTTCTCAGCTATAACCACTAAAGCAGATTCAAGAACATACAAATGTGAGTTCATGATGTCAAGCAAGAACCTTTGTAGTGGATCTTATTTGTTACATATCAGAGTTTCCCTGCCAGACTAGTTACATTAGGTAGGCACTAGGGTGTTGACCACAACAACTTGCATAGCATTAAGGCATAAACAGTGGACGCTGGTCAAAATGCTGGGATTGACAACAATCAGCATGTCTGTTTTCAGCATAAAGTCATGGTCATGGGTCAATTACCATGTGGAGACATTCAAAGTATGGGCCAAAATGAGCATGATATCAAAAGCAGTCTGAGCCAAGATGGTGGCTTAGGCTGCAAAACAGGCCCAGGCGAAAGCCTATGGTTTGATTGGACGAGAGTCAAACAAATAACACAATATGTCAGATGGCCCATCATGTAGTGGCTAAGCTAACCTCAGAAGTGCAGGGAGCACCTCAGCCAAGTCCTGGTCTTCATCATCTGATGACAGCAGCATGTTGACTATGTCATTTCATTACAGAAGCACTTCCATGACATGGAGTGCTTTTGCCATGATGAATACAGCTGTCCTGAGAACACAAAATTGTCCTAAATTGTCTGTTGCCCGGTCTGCCGTGGGAGCCAACACACACAAACGTGCGCCACTGCTCCCCAAGGTGCCGCCCGGCCTGCTGTCGGGGCCGCTACAGACGGATGCAGCTGCTGCCGGAGGGAATCCGGTTGCGCCTTACGGTGACATTTTTGCGCCCTCATTGCACACGGTGCGCCTCAAATCGACTGCACTCTCAGTCGACTGTCATTGAGATATTGCACACAAAAGTGCGCTTTGACTGAACAAAAATTAAAAAGACCAATATTTCTTAAACTTTGCATGACATGAGCCTGAAAATGCCGGAAACATATAAATCGAAGTGGTAGCATGGCACTGGGTGCATTGGACACTTGATATCAACATCTTATGCTTTGGTATTCAATAACATTCATTCCCACTTCAATCTGCACATTTCGTCGACTAAATGCACCGTGAGTCGACATTATGTAATTTGCTATAATGCCAGTGGACATTTTAAAATATCATTTATTTCGAAAAATAAAAATAATTCACTGTATTCTTGCACATGAATGTGATGCTCGAGGTCTGTTTTGTCTAGTTTTATTCGGAGCATCATATTTTTCATCGCCTTTAAGTGCAATAGGCATTTAAAGAAAATTTACGTCAACTATCCGCACAGGGCGATGTCGGTGAATCAAAGTTTCACTTGACATTTTAGCCAAAATCGAGTACAACAATTTTTAGAAAAACACTGAATATAGATGAAAGGGTGTGCTAGTATTGTGCGCAGTGTTGAAAAATGTTGGAAAATACCCGACTTATTGTTAAATACATCTTATTTCATTTAAAATATCATTTTAAAGAAATTCTTCCAGTAGAATTATGGCGCAGTTTTGAATTTTGCGCTCTAGATCGTCACAAAATTGTCAGATATCAGCGCAATGGGCCGTAAAATGACATTTTACTGTTAGATAAGGGCGCATAAAGGAAAAAATGTCGTATTTAAGTTCATTATATGAAAAAAAACTTCATGACCATAAGGAGTAGGACCGATCGCTCAGCCGGCCCTGAGGGACGTCTGAGGGCCCCGTAGGTCCGATGAGGGCCCTTCAGATAGATCGGATGACGGCTTACAGTCCATTAGAGTCTTGTAGGCCGTCTAAGGCCGACAAGAGGCCCCCTCGCACTTGCAGAGGGCCCTGTCGGACTGACGAAGGACCATCTCAGACAAACGAAGGGCCCTTTCAGATCATTTGAGGGCCTCCTCAAACCTATAGAGGCCCCTCAGATCGATAGTGGAGCCGATCTGAGGTCTCCAAACCGACATGGGGTCAGACCAACAGTCAGAAACCAACTGACCAACAGACGACCCCTCAGATGAACAGAGGAGGTCGATGGAGGTTGATGGAGGGCCCCATGGACCGGCATGGCCCTCAGAACAGCGGAGGGCTTCCCCCAGGTCGGGAGAGGTCCCCTGAGACTGACAGAGGGCCCCTCAAATCGATGAAGGACCTCAAGTGGGAAAAAGCCCCTCCAGTGGACAGAGGCCCTTGGACGAACAAAGGGCCCCTCAGGCCGATCGAGGATCCCTCTCCCTCAGACAGACAGAAGGCCCTCTGGGTCCAAAAGAGGGTCCCTCATGCAAATAGCGGGTCTTTTAAACCAACAGAGGGCCCTTCAGATGTTCTACAATAAAATATGCTTATTTACACATTGATTTTGTGTTGGACCCATCCACACACCGTTGGACCCATCCAATCCACCTGGCCCCCTGGATTCAATAGGGCCCCAAAGCTCTTAAATTGGGGCTCCCTTGGTCAAATTCTGGCCACGCAGCTGCGTCAAATGATCCGTGGCAGGAGCCTTTGCGTCGCCAAGACCCCGCTGTGTCAACCAGGGACCCCAATGGCATAGGGGCCCCGGGCTGGGCCCTGGCCCCAACTGGAATAGGGGCCCCTGGACCTCCAGGGGGCATGGCTCCTTTGTCCCCCTCTGGCTACGCCACTGTGGGAGGGGGCGATGTGCTAAGAGCTCCGGGGTAAAATCCAAACGATTCTGTCGGATGTTGCTAGTCGAACGATGTGAAAGGTTAACTTCTTAGACCACACCTTGGCCTTGCCAGGTCAGGTCAAAGCAAAAATGTTGCTGCTTTTTTGCCGCGATCAAGGAATATCGTGTGCTATGTGCGATGCATCGTTGGTGCTGACATTTTGTTATGCGAAATCGGTTGGAGGTGATTGGTGCGGTTCTAGTGACACAAATGACAAGTTTGCACTTCTCGGGGTCAACTCAGGTCCACTCAAGTCAAGTTAACATGGGCTGTTTTCATCCGATACCGCACTTAAAATTGTGTGTGTGTTTGTGTGTATGTATGTTAACCCGTATGTATGTGTGTGGGGTTGGCGTATGAGGTGTGGGGGTCGTTGGGTAGAGGGGTCAAGGGTTAGGGAGTCATGGGAGTACATCATCAGTTAGAAGGCATTTACTTGGGCATTTACCGCGGCACATGATAGGGCAAAGCTACGATAACTTAAAATCATAATTACTCACTTCTGAATAAAAAAAAAAAATCCTGCCACCACCAGGTGTAAACTCGCATTCCTCTTCAAACACAGTTAAATGTCATTCAGTTTCACGTGATATATTTGCACGCAATTTTTCGGGCGGATTCTGAGCTTTTTACTAGTTTTTTTTTCCATTATTAAACCATAGACATGGTACAGGACATTAACACAGGATAGAAAAACACGTGGTACGCCCTTCCCCTAGAGCAGCAGTCCTTACAAACTGAACTGAACACACAACGCATCGAACCGTATGCCGCTCCCGCCGGCACCGGCCACTCTAAACTGCAGCCCGTCCGTGTCACACGTCAATTACGTCACTATGCTTTAGCTCTCGCAAGCCATACGGTGACAACGCAAGTTCGACGATTACGCAGTGACGGTAGCACCTTCTGCCAAACGAGCGAGCGTTGACCGTCGCCTCCTTCGTAAGTACTGTCTACAGCACGCGCCTCCTAGCACGCTTACTCCTGCCACTCGCATCCATTTCCCGATCATACGAGCTCGTCACGCTGGCTCGTCGCGTCCCACTCTGCAGCATGCTCTGCCTCCCGCACACTCACGAAACGCTCAAACTCGAGCAACGCAATGACCACCGACTTGACAGTGGCAGTGTGATGCGGGACCTTCTTGAGAAGAACCTTCTCGATGTCGTCCAATCTCTTTCTCATGATTTCAGATGGTCCAGTTGTGTCAGATACCTCGTTGAATAGCGACCTCAGCTGCCGCTCCTGCCGAAGGGCCGTCGTTGGCTTCCGCCTCCATCCTTTCTTACAATGGGAGAAGAGGCTGATCAGATCCTCTTCCTTCCCCGCACTGTTCCTCGCACCATCACTGGCGCAGAGACCGTCGAGCAACATCGACTCTAGGGCGTCGGCGACCGCTGCATCTTTCATCTGGCCGCGAGCGGAGCGGTCTGCTACACCGTGGCTTCGCTTGAGATACAGTTGCAGGTGCCGCACGCGAGCACCACACTGGTGGCATGTCAGGATCCTCGGCATCGCAAGTTTCCTGGAAGGAAAGACAGAAATAAAGGACGCTACAAGTTGACTAAACGCAAGAGCAGGGGCATAAAACGGTTGAGCACAGACCTTCAGTGTTGTAGTAACTGATCTTAGAGCATATCCACTTTACGGCGCTGCGCCGACAAATTTATTATAGCTGTTTTGATATGCATTCGCAATTTGTGCATATTTTTTTTTTAAGGTCAGGGCACCATGTCATGTTAACCGACCTCACCGCGAAACACACTTTTCTTAAATTGGCAGCTGCGCCAGGACCAAAGCTATGGATAGAGGATCTTGAAATTTACCGAGACTAGTAAGCACATCAACAGCTACAACATGCATATGTCATATTTTCTATATCATTGACATTTTTCCACCACGATATACTTATCAGCAAATTGCGTCTGCACGGCATCGACACGGCGTGGTTCGAGGCGTACCTACGCGGTCACACGCAGAGTGTCGTCCTGCGTGACGTCACGGGCGCCGAGCGAGTCTCGCCCCCGCTCCCGAACACCATGGGAGTGTTTCAGGGCAGCGCCCTCGGACCGCTGCTGTTTACGGTGTTCGCCAACGACCTGTCGCTACACGCCGCCGATGCTAGAGTGCTGCAGTACGCAGACGACACCCAGGTGATTGTCTCAGGCAAAAAGAGTGAACTCCCAGCACTCATCACTAGCATGGAAAACTCACTTGCTTCTTTGGACAAATGGTTCTGCGCGAATGCTCTCAAGGTCAACGCGAACAAAACTCAACTCATTGCTTTCGGAAACCGCCAAAATTTGCGCAACCTTCCAAATTTCACAGTCACCTTCCGTGACACAACCCTCGTCCCTTGTAACGAGGTCAAAAATCTGGGTGTAACGTTTGACAAAAACCTGACATGGGACAGTCACGTGGGTGCCGTCACCCGCCGCTGCACTGGGACCCTGATCGGCCTGTCGCACGTGCGACATGTGGTGCCGCGAGGTGTCATCACCTCCCTTGTGACAGCCCTGGTTCTCTCGCAGGTCCGCTACTGCATATCAGTTTATGGTAACGGTACTAAAAAGAACATGGTCAGAGTACAGAAGATCCTAAATTTCGCTGCAAAGGTGATTTTCGGCCGAGGAAAATTTGATCACGTGGCGGACCTGCGGGAGAGACTGGGCTGGCTCGAGGCCCAGCAGCTGGCCGATCACTCTACACTCTGCCTGGCGCACAGGGTGCTCCGCAGAGGAGAGCCCCACTCACTAGCAGCCGTCCTCCATCGTAATGAGGAGGTACGCCAGCGCGCCACCAGGCAGGACGGTCTGCTCAGTGTGCCGAGGTCGAGGACCGAGGCGGGTAAAAGACGATTCTGTGCTAGAGCGCCGGCGCTGCACAACCAGCTGCCACCCGAACTGGTTTCGCTCAGTGGACAGGGCTTCAAACGCGCTTTAAAACGACGAATGCTGTCTTCTATTACCTGATTTGACGCCGTGTATGAGAGTGTGGATGTGTGTGACTGGTGACATGCATGTTGGTGTGCCGTTGCACCTGTAATTTGTATGTATGAGTGAATATTTTTATCCTTTCTACCATGCATGTGACATTGTGACGCGGAGCCAGAAAAGCCACTGCTGCTGTGGAGTGCTCTTTAAATACAAATACAAATACAAATACAAATACAGAGGCCCCATATAGAGATAATCAAAGGTCATACGGTATAATTTAAGGTCGTAAGTAATTTTTCACCGATAACCTGTGAAGGAAACGAAGTACATACAGTATTTAAGAGAAAAAGACGCAGTGGGCGAGATGGAAAGAAAAAGTGGAGGGGAGAGAGGGGCTGACAGAGTGGGAGGGGAGTGGGACACAGACAGAGTGGGAGGGCTCACCGAGTGGTAGGGGAGGAAGGGGCAGACAGTGAGCGAAGGGAGCGGCTGGCAATTGGAGGGGAGAAGGGGATTGGCAGAGTGTGAGGGAGAGAGGTTGACAGAGTGGGAGGAAGAGAAGCTGTCAGTGAGGGGGGAGGCAGGAGCTGATAGAGTGGGAGAGAGAGGGGCTGACAGAGTGGGAGGGGGAGGGGCTGACAGTGGGAGGGAGGAGCTGACAGAGTGGGAGGGAGAGGGGCTGACAGAGTGAGAGAGACAGGGGCTGGCAGAGTGGGAGAGGAGAGCGGGGCTGACAGTGGGGGAGGGGGAGGGGCTGGGAGTGTGAGGTTACAGAGAAGCTGACAGAGTAGGAGGGAGAGGGGCTGACAGTGGGGAGGGAGAGGGGCGGGACTGACAGAGTGACTGAGTGGGAGGGGACAGAAGGGCTGACATAATGGGATGGGAGGTGCAGACAGATTGGGAGGGGATGAAAATGAATGAGAGGGGAAGGGGCCAACAAAGTGGGAGTTGAGGTATGGGCTGACAGAGTGGGAGAAAGGAGCTGACAGAGTGGGAGGGAGAGGGGCTGAAAGTGGGGGAAGGAACAGCTGACAGAGTGGGAGGGAGAGGGGCTGACAGTGGGAGAGGAGGGGAGGGCTGACAGTGGGGGAGGGGGAGGGGCTGGGAGTGTGAGGTTACAGAGGTGCTGACAGAGTGGGAGGGGAGGGCTGACAGACAGAGTGGGAGGGAGAAGAGCTGACAGAGTGGGAGGGTGAAGAGCTGACAGAGTGGGAGGGAGAGGGGCTGACAGTGGGAGAGGGAGGAGCTGACAGAGTGGGATAGAGAGGGGCTGACAGAGTGGGAGAGTGGGAGGGGACAGAAGGGCTGACAAAATGGGATGGGAGGTGCAGACAGGGTGAAAGGGGAGGAAAATGAATGAGAGGGGAAGGGGCCAACAAAGTGGGAGTTAAGGTATGGGCTGACAGGGTGAGAGTGGGAGGAGGTGACAGAGTGGGAGGGAGAGGAGCTGACAGAGTGGGAGGGAGATGTGCTGACATAGGGTAGAGAGTAGCTGACAGAGTGGGAGGGAGAGGGGCTGACAGTGGGGGAGGGGGAGGGGCTGGCAGAAAGGGAGGGGACAGAGGGGCTGACAGAGTGGGAGTGTGAGGGGAGGGAGGAGCTGACAGAGTGGGAGAGGAGGGCAGGGCTGACAGTGGGGGAGGGGGAGGGGCTGGGAGTGTGAGGTTGCAGAGGTGCTGACAGAGTGGGAGTGGAGGGCTGACAGTGGGGAGGGAGGAGCTGACAGAGTGGGAGGTAGAGGGGCTGACAGTGGGGGAGGGAGAGGGGCTGACAGAGTGGGAGAGAGAGGGGCTGACAGAGTGGGAGAGGAGGGCAGGGCTGACAGTGGGGGAGGAGGAGGGGCTGGGAGACGGGAGTGTGAGGTTACAGAGGGGCTGACAGAGTGGGAGGGGGAGGGGCTGAAAGTGGGGGAGGGAGGAGCTGACAGAGTGGGAGGTAGAGGGGCTGACAGTGGGGGAGGGAGAGGGGCTGACAGAGTGGGAGAGGAGGGCAGGGCTGACAGTGGGGGAGGGAGAGGGGCTGACAGAGTGGGAGAGGAGGGCAGGGCTGACAGTGGGGGAGGGGGAGGGGCTGGGAGTGTGAGGTTACAGAGCAGCTGACAGAGTGGGAGGGGAGGGCTGACAGACAGAGTGGGAGTGAGGTCAGGTCATGAAACAGGATTGAGTAATACATACCTTGAGATTATATCGCTGACCCAAAGCACGCCTGTCGCCCATACACTGACACAACCAAGGCCATGTACCCACACAACAGAACCTTCTAAGCAAGGAGACGCTACAACGACCTGCGCCACGGAACGATCATCTGCGCCAGACCGGCCGCGCCATCACGCGGCCGGCGAACGCTGCCCGACATGGACTCTGTGCCCATATGGACGGCATGAAGGAATAACTTCAAGCATACAAAGAAACACAATGTCGGTCAAATGTGCAGTTCCAAAGTGCACCCTCATTAAGTTTTCCGAAATCGACAGACTGCTCCTAGTATCGACATAGCATGTCGAGTTAAAGTGCATGACTGTGCAGTTTCCCCCCAAAAAGTGGAGAAATATGTCCCGACGCCAAAACATCTCACGTTAAGACTATTCATTGTTTGTTATAACTGCATGCAATTAAATAATTCTACGTCAATTCTGTATACACTCACCATCGAAAAATTTTTTAGCGCCACTATGAAACGAATCACAGCTAAAAACTCTTAGCTTTTTTTAAGTGCAGTTCGTCGGGTTGAAGCGCACTCATACGTCACAGGTCACGTGACTGCGCTTATAACCGATTCCGGCGTCCAGGGAGTGCCGCCCGCCCTGCCCGTCGGGGCAGCCACAGACGGGTGACGCTGCTCCCGGGGGCCTGCTGTCTGGATCCACATTTTTCGCGTTCTTGTGTGTGTTTCGAGACTGCTTGGAACTGGCCACCGCCGACGCAGCTTTCTCTAGCCTTTGCTGCAGCTCCCGCGGCTCTGGCAAGCTGTTGAAATGGTCCTCAGGAAAATTAAAAACAACAAATCATACTTCTGTCTAGGGATAAAGCGATGAGCGAATTCGACACTGACATGCACACGCTCCCATATGCACACACATACACAAATGAAGCGATCAATGATGGTCCATGGAATACAAATATTTACGAGCGAGAAAGCAATGAGATTGATTATCGAAAAACATTGAAATATTTAGAAAAATATTGAGTAAAATGAGCATTAAAGGTAGTGTGCCAGCTTTCCTGGACCATATGGAGTTAATGACCCGGATAAGGAGAACCGGATTTTTAGAACTTATCCATACCTTCAAAACTCATGGAAACGTCTTAAATTCTTCAAATTTTGAGTACCCCAGTGCGAAATTCGCCCCGACGGGTTGTCGGTCGTACCCCAACCACATTTCACACCACTATGAACAATAAATGCACACACTAAAATCGCTATTACCGATAGGCTCATCCAATCAAGTTTCGATAAACCCGTTCATCATCTCCTGCGGTTTCGAACACGCCTGTTAGGTGGCTTCTGCTCATACTTACATTTCTGCCACTTTCATGTGGTGAGATCATAGATATAAAAGACATCTGTGGGTGAGATGGGGTCATAACTTTAGAGACGGCTGTTTCATTTCAATTATTTTACATAAAATAATATTTCAAACCATAAACTAATGTTCGACAGCCAACTTTAAGAAACAATACCAATACAGGCTTACAGTTTAAATTCGACATTGTGTTGTCTACGATTAGACAGCTGATAAATCATTCCCGTACGTCGTAACTCTATAATGACCTTTGCTTATTGTCGCATGTGCGCCGCATTCGCGATTGTTGCCGACGCCTGTTTGCAGGCCAGCCCACTACAGTTGTTATACATATCGAAAAACCGATAAACTTTTAGACGAAAAAAGCACTATTTTAGGCCCATTTTTTGATTTTTTTGCGATATTAGGTAAAAACAGAAGCTTCTTATCCTAGGAAAACTAAAATGGGAAATCATTGGAAGGTGGCACACTACCTTTAACAGTGACTGTCCGGCTCGGTATCAAACGTTCTGCCACGAAATATGTAGTCTACGACAGTCGTAGATGTCGTATGTCGGAACCACGGAACCGCGGAATATGTATGTCGTAGACATATATTCCGTGGTTCTATCTTTGCAGCCATTCATCCTGTTCAACAAACAGTTTTGTCTGTTGTGTAGCTTATCCATTCTTTCTCGAAATTACGCATTGTTGAAACATTTGGGTAGTCATCTCGGCACGCTCCACCAGTCACGTACCAAAATCATCGGTGCCAAAGCTGTTCTGTGTACAATAACTCCTATTTAATGACTGAACACATTTTGATGAAACTTTGTGTGTCGTTGGGCACCCACTCCGCTTGGCAATGCAATGCGTAGTGTGGTTTGGGTGCAAGCACGTGCCGGGTATTTTTTTATATCTCAAGAACGGCTGGCTGCATTGTATACACAATTGGGATATTGGTTGGAGAGGAATCTGATGAGTGGCTTATAACTTATAAGTTTGAACAATGACCTGGGGCATAATTTTGTATGTGCTTATGTGCAGAGCACGTATCTATTTCCTGCACAGTGCCATGCGGCACTTGGAACACGCACTGGACGGACGCGACTTGCAAGTCGGCAGTGCGCACTTTCGGCTTTGCTCCGCCACTTCCGGGCTTGCTCCGTGCCGTCGAAGCGGGCGTCATTGGCAACTGCGCACAGGCGCGGTTTGCCCGCTCTCTGAGCTCGAGTGACTCGGTGCCGCAAGCAGAGTTCGGGCCACCTCGCGTCGGAAGTCCAGCAGAGACATCCCGCCGTGCTCATCTAGCCGGTGCAGTACCCATGCATTGAAGACGGTCGCGTCCGGCATCCAGGCATCCATTCATTGGGATGATCGGTGATTGGTGAATCAAAGAACAAGAAAATGGTGCCACTGCTGATGCTCAATATGTATTCAATCAACATGCGGAATACAACACATCAGCACATAATCCGGATGCTTCTGTACCCATTGTACAGTCATACCTCTGACACAGTCACACATCACCATTGTCGCCAGTCCTTAGCTGCCACATCCAAACAGCTTTCGTGCCAGTAAGGGCTTGTAATGCGCTTGGTAAAAGGAGGCCAGGCTCCTGACCATGTTAGTGATAAAAGGTTCATTGCGCTTAACCTCCACAATGCACATATCCTTGGGAGTGTATACCACAAAATCACACATGCTATGGCCAGTCACATGCATTTGCAGCTGGATCTGGTAAAAGTATGGGTGCGACTCCTTTAAACTGACCTTTCCATTTTCATCTTTTACCAAGGGCAGGTACCCAGCATCCAGCAGTGTTTCGCTTTCCCTCACTTCCTTCTTATATGGACATTTGATTTCGACAAGCCTGTCGGAACACACCCCATCAGGACTGGCAGCAAGAAAAGGCATATCAACACATACAAATAACCCACACTTTTGCACTGCTCTACCAGTGACCTCAGCATATTTCTCCAAAGCCTGTGACTCATTTGCCTTGCCCCACCTGACTGCTGGAATATGACCAAGACTTTGAGGATCATATAGGCTGGCAGCTAGGCTGTCTCTGTTCTTCTTCACATTGCACACTCTGTGCGCCGAAGAAGCAGTCAGTCTCACTCGCCTTTCTGCAGTCCACAAACTAGATGTTGATTGTCCCCTTGTCTTTCTCTCCAGCAAGCTAGCCTCTTCTTTGGAGACCTTTGTGATGTTGTCCACCCATGCTTCTGTCAAGCTTGACCTTAGGTAATCATGGTCATCCACAACTGCTTGCATGTTTGCCTTACCTTGACATATTTCACCGAGATGCAAACTGTGCGACCTTGTTGATGAATAGTTAATCAGCATCATCTCAACTCTTTGACGTTTGGAGTCCATTTTCTGAAACTTTGCTGGCCTGGGGTCTGCAAAGTACGCATGATCCTCATTCGCATTCAAAATGTCCTCTGGAGTCTTGGCCTCGTGGGGATCCAGAACTCTTTTCTTCGGTTGATGAGGCCATGACTGAGCAACATCAGTGCATGACTTGGACATCATCCATTTGTCAGTCCTTTCATACTGCTCCAAATTATAAAGCAGCACAGCAACATGCTTGCAAATGGCATGAGGGCCACGGCCAGCTGTACATTCGCAGCTGGTGTACCCTATTTCACTGTCCTGAATGCGACATTCCACCAGATACGTCACATCTTTCTTCATCTCTGCGAATACAGTAGCTCGTAGGAACAGGTTCCTATCACTGGTGCTATAGCTGCATGAGCACATAAACCCTTCCTTAAACATTGCAAAGCCCGACTTCTGCACTTTGGAGCACCTGCTCACAGACACATTATGCTCCAGGAAGTAAATACCGACCTTGGCAACATTAATGTCATTCTTGGGCTTTGCTCCGTTCACATGGACAAACTCAGCTAAGCCTGGCCACGATACTTCATCACATCCGTCAAACCCCGCAAAGCTTCCTGGGCTTGAGCCGGTGGCAGAATCCAAGTACCTTAATCTCTCGATGAGATCCGGTTTTTTGCCAGTAGTTTTGGCATTCCGTTTGATGAGAAGGCTCTTGAGGTCCTTAACCCGCGCCCCGCTGGGCTATTCAGCCATACGCGCCCTGCTGGGGGGGGGGGGCAGATTCTGCCCCCCCCCCTGTCTAACTTCCGAACCGATGGTCGTAGAAAGACGGGGAAAACGGCAATCGAAAGCTCTCAACAAGGCGGATCTAAAGAGCCCAAATTTTTTTGCTTAAGTAGGTCAGAGGTCAGGTCAAGGTCAGGTCAAGGGTACAAAATGTAAGTTTCTACAGTATCGGCCTTGCACCGTAGTTGCCGGAAAATGGACTGAGACTGATTGCCCAAAACGTGTTCTTAGACTACCAAGACAATATTCGTCGCATACAATGTCATTCAAAGGTCAAGGTCAAGGTCAGGTCAGGTCAGGTCAGGTCACCAAAAACAAAATATAGAAAAGGGCATGTGCGACACATGTTTTATGGGTCATTTTACGCATAGAATTCAATAGGCACACTCAATAAGTGATATGGACCACCTCTGGATGAATTTCAGGTCGAGGTCAGGTCAAGGTCAGGTCAAGTGAGGTCAAATTTTGAAGTTGGTTGTTAAGGCCTAAAAAGGTGTCTATCTGATGCAGTTTTTCACGGCGAATCGAATGGTGCTATTTTTGTTTCCGTACGAGGTCTAGAACTTCCAAAAAAATCATTTTTCAAAATTTTTGTTTGTCGTGACGTCATAAAATTTTGAATAACTCCCACATTTTTGAACCGATTCTTCTAAAAATTGGTATATAGGTGCACATAGACTACTTCTCTGACATATATTCCGGTTTTTTCGATACACTCAAAATTTTGGATTTTATAATAATTTTCCCAAAAAAGTCAGTTTTTTGAAAAAAATTTGGGCCAAAATCCAAAATTTTCAAAAAACTGAGATAGCCATTTGATAGACAAAGTAGAATCACGTATAACCTTTTTTGTTACGTCTTGATTCCTTTAAACATGAAGATGTTAGCGGCGTTTGAAATTTTGCCGTTTTTGAGGCGAAAATGGCGAACATGACGTCACAAAAACGTCAATTTCTCAAAAATTTTCCGACGGATTTCGTTCAAATTTTCAGGGAACGTGTCAAATCGATGTATGATAAGGTACTGAAAGTTTGACGTCGCTGGCGTAACGCGTTTAGAAGTTATTGGCGAAAAACGGGAGGGGGGGCAGATTCTGCCCCCCCCCCAGCGGGGCGCGGGTTAACACTCATTGATGCGTACTTATCCATACTTCAACGACTCAGATATCTTAGTTCACCGATCTTCCAAAACCCCAATCCGCCACGCCACAACCACGCTACCACAGTGAAACACAGGGGTCCAGCACGTGGAATTTGACGCTGCGCCACAACAGTCACAAAAGCGCCATCCATCTTGACCGCTCTGAGCAGCCACTGCCACCTGTCGGGTCGACCAAGAACTAAAATTTCCCGAGATCCTCATTTCGGCCACCACCACTTCTTCCGGCACATGCGGATGCATAAGAGCCCGATGCCCTGGTCGACGCTTCCCGTGCCGCTCATGCTGCGGTTGTACAGCTGGACAACAAATGACTGGTCAACTGCCACCTTCTTCCTCTCCTTTGCTGACCAGCGTGACGCCTTCTGCAGAGGATGCTCGGCGGCGAGGCTGGAGGCGATGGTGACCACGGCGTTATCCTTCCACCGAGTGAGCGCGATCTTGTTCGTCGTGAAAGGCTGCTATGAAAGGCTGCCTCGACTTTTTGCTTCATGGCCTTCTCCACTTCTCTTCACATCGTGTCGTCGATGGTGACTTGTTGGAGGCGCCTGTAGCGCGGATTGAGCGCAAGAGCGAGGTACTGGTCCAGCCCGACCTTGCCGCCGTACTCCGGGCCCGTTACGTGCTGGAGGAGGCTCTCCTTCAGGCGCTTCGCCAGATGTGTGTCGGTCGGATCTGGCCCCAGGTGGCGCTTGGCGTTCCCCACCTCCAGGGGAACCAGAAATCACCATCACCAAGCGCTGTTGCACTGTTGGCGCTGGCACTGTTGTTACTCATGAGTGATCCCTCATCTGCTTTCGGACGATGACTTTTTTTTCGTCGACGAATTTTGGGATTTTCTGTACCGCCAGATCAGTAGCCTCGTCCTTTTCACTCATTTTTAGAGCAAAGCGAGTGAGCTCATCTGGAAAAAATAACAGCCTTAGTGGTGTGGAGAACTTGGGCGCAAAATTTCCGTTGTAATCGACGCGTCATAAGGAGCCAATAAACAGACAATGGTTTGGGGAGCGTAGGTCAGGAGCAATGGAAGCACAGTGGTACATGAATTGAAAACTAGATACGAAAATGTTTAGTAAAACATGTCCACCTACCGGTCACCCTTAACCTTCCAGGCGTTGGGGGGGGGGGCATTTTTTTGCCCCCCTTAGTTTTTTCGATATATCTCGAGAACCGCTGCGCCGATCGTCACCAAACTTTCAGTACCCTCCCGGGAGTAGCTAGCGCACATGGTGACCACAATTTTTTTCCAAAGGCTATGATAGGTTGGCCGCTAATGACGTCAGAGTGACGTCAATTCTGCCATTTTCGACCCAAAAAAAGATTTCGCGGGAAGAGCTGTCAGGCCTACAGCTTTAGAGATACAGAAAAATGTTTCAGACATAAAAGGTGTGGAATTAAGAGGGCTACAAAACTGCTATTTCGGTTTTTCGAATTTTTTGGATTTTGACCCCAAAAAATCAAAAAGATTTTTTGAATATAATAGCCGAAAAATCCAAAAAGTTTTTTGAATTTCGAAAAAACCGGAATATATGTGATAGTCCCTACCGCCTTCTATCTGCATACCAAATTTGAGATCGATACCTCTTTTTTGGCCAAGTTATAGCGAAAAAACTGTTCAAAATTGATGACGTCAAATTGTCAAACTCAATTTTTAGCAATTCTACAGGGTTTGGTGTTTGTTTAATTTTTCAAATAAACAAACATAAACAAACTGTTCACGAACAAATGTGTTCGCGAACAAGTGACGTCATCGGTCAAGTTTTGGTAAACAAACAACGAACAGTTCGCGAACGTTCATTAACTGTTCGCGAACACGATAAAGAGTGGGTAGATAAGACCCCCTCCTTAGCCATTTCGCTCCCAATTGAGATAGAACCTTGCGGGAAAAGCCAGCGTGTGCGTCTTTACGAACCACAGCGACTGGTATCCGATTTCAAGGTCTTACACCAACCGGTGACCGCTGAGGCCAGGTCAAAAGTCATAAAGTAGGGGTTTGGTTTTTGGTACAAACTTCGCCACAAATGGTGGCAGAGCCGCGATTGTGGCACCATCGTGTTCGTCGTGCCCAGGCGCGTCGAATGATATGCTTTTTGTTTGGATTAGGTCTTTTTGTATGTTGACCTAAGGTCAAGGTCAGGTCAAAGCCACTCGGGTCATAAAGCTGCATGGAGGATGTTATGCTGCATATCATTCGATGTGGCAGTTCTTTCTGAGTCGATTGATGGCTCAACCAACTCGCTAGCTCAATTTGATCGGAAGTTATTAGCGAAAAGCTCCTACTGCACCAAACAATCTTAGTGGCGTCTTATATGACGTCATGCAAGGTCTTAAATGCACAATTTAAGCCTCAGCGTTGCAAAAATAATTATGAATCATGATTCCATGTGCTTGATATATGACTGGTGCATTTTTTCACATGTAAAACAGGCCTGCAGTCATGTCGGCACCGTATGATAACAGTTGCTCCAAAGATATCAGAAATGATGACTTGTTCATGAACGTTCAAGAACGTTCACAGAGAACGTTTCGTGAACAGAGAATCGTTGGTGAACATGTGACCTTGAATGCCAAAATTCGTAAACTATCAAATAAACAAACAAACAAACATTGTTCACGAACTGTTCATGAACAAATATACAAACACCAAACCCTGCAATTCTAGACCTCGTAGCGCAAAACAAAGACCACCATTAGACTCCCCGTGACGAGCTGCATCGAATCAATACCCATTTTATGCAAAAATATCAACTTTGAAATTTGACCTTTTTTTATCTGACTTTGACCTGACCTCCACCAGAAAGTGACCTAAACCGTACCTGATGGTCTTATAACCAACACCATTGAGTTGGAAATGAAAAACTGGCCATAAAACATGCATCGCACAACCTTAGTGAAGTTGGGTTCATGCGGTGACCCTTGGTGACCTTTGGCGACCTGACCTCTGACCTGACCTGGTATGACCAGTGACCTCTAATAGCAACATATGTACTAGACAACTGACGCCCTATCGCTGATTTTCGACAAAATGCGTTTTACTCGGTGTTATAGCGCTTTCCCTAGAAGCCCCGTGAACGGTGAAACATTTTATCTTTGACCTGACCTGTGACGTCATCGGTGACCCCGAGGTCAATGAAATTTGGTTCCCTTCGATAAATTTGACAGGGCTATCGAACGCCGTTTGAATTTTCCGGATCCGTCCAGTAGTTTCGGAGATACGAGGGGGAGGGGGGCAAAAAATGCCCCCCTCCACACCGGGCGGAAGGTGGCCGGGAGGCCCACCGCCTGCCGGGTTAAACATTTCACAACGCATGAGAGGGCTGGTTGGAGCTACCGTTTCCTAAACTACCGTTTTCCTGCAGAAATAAGCAATCAGAATAGCTAATGAGTAGGGAGACAAAGCCCGTCTGTATGAACAGTCAGTAGCTGTCCACTGTCCACCTAGCTCTAGGTTGTGTCACCATGTAATTAAGAATGGCTGTAAAAAGGAACGAATTATATGACTGAAAATATGTCACGTGACAGCCTACCATCAGAAACGGAATATGATGTTGTAGTGAACCGTGCGTTTATATTCGCC